TCCATTTTTAGATTTTTGATTTTCCAGTTTTGCATTTTCAGATTTTCTGTTTTTCCCATATCTGATTTATCAAATTTTCGATTTTTCGGCTTTTCGATTTTTCGATATTTGATTTTCGATTTTTCGATTGTTCAGTTTTCCATTTTTTAGCTTTTAGACTTCAATTTTTTTACTTTTCGATTTTCCAAATTTTCGAGTTTCAATTTTCAGATTTTTGATTTTTCGATTTTCTTTTTAAATCTTCGAATTTTTCGGTTTTGATTTTTCGAATTTTTGATTTTTAATTTTTCCATTCTTCGGTTTTTAGATTTCAATTTTCTTTCTTTTAAATTTTTCGATATTCTATTTTCCGCTTTTCAGAATTTTCGATTTTCAGTTTTCCGACTTTCGATGATTAGAATTTTGGATTTTTCAGTTTTATGATTTTTCGATTTTTAAAAAATTGGAGTAGTCGAATTTTCGATTTTTTAATTCATCGATTTTTCAATGTTCAATTTTTCAATTTTCCGGTTTTTTAATTCCCCTATTCTCGATTTTTCGATTTTCCATTAATCATAAAATTTTTCGATTTTTCGGTTGTTTTATTTTTCGACCTTCGATTTTTCAACCTTCGATTATTCGATTTTCCATTTTCTGATTTTACGATTTTTCGATTTGCGATTTTTCTGTTTGCTTCAGTTGTTATGGTTCTGCAATTTGCAGCTTTTAGATTTCAATTTTGTTACTTTCCGATTTTCCACTTTTCGATTTTTTGATTTTTTTTCGATCGTCGTTTTTTCGATTTTCATTTTTTCGATTTTTTGATTTTTCAATTTTTAGGCCTTGCAATTTTTTTACTTTTCGCTTTTACGAGTATTTGTTTCATCGAATTTTCGATTTTTCGAGTTTTCGATTTTCGATTTTCGATTTTTCGGTTTTTCCATTTTCCGATTTTTGATTTTACGATTTTCCATGTTTAGATATTTTTCGATTTTTTTTTATTTTTCGATTGTTCTGTTCGTCAGTTTTGAGACTTTGCAATTTTTACTTTTCCACTTTTCTATTATTTTAGTTTCGGATTATTCGATTTTTGAATTTTCGTTTTTTTTTCATTTTTCGATTTCCGATTTTTTAATTTTTTGATTTTTTGGTTTTTTAATTTGTCGATTCTCGATATCCCGATTTTCGATTTTCCAATCTTCGATTTTTCAATTTCCAGTTTTCGATTTTCCAGTTTTTGATTTTACGATTTTTCGATTTTTCTGTTCGTCAGTTTTTAGGCTTTGCAATTTGTTTACTTTTCGATTTTTCGATTATTTTACTTTCCAGTTTTTTGATTTTTCAATTGTCGATTTTTAGAGTTTTCAAAATTATGAATTTTCGAATTTTCGGTTTTCCTATTTTTCGATTTTTGATTTTTCCATTTTTCGGTTTTTTGATTTTTCAATTCTCGGTTTTTCAATCTTGCGAGTTTTCGATTTTTCAGATTTGTGAATTTCCAGTTTTTTGATCGACCTACGTACTAGATTCATTGAATTTTCGATTTTCGGTTTTTCCATTTTTAGATTTTTGATTTTCCAGTTTTGCATTTTCAGATTTTCTGTTTTTCGCATATCTGATTTATCAAATTTTCGATTTTTCGGCTTGTCGATTTTTCGATATTTGATTTTCGAATTTTCGATTGTTCAGTTTTCCATTTTTCAGCTTTTAGACTTCAATTTTTTTACTTTTCGATTTTCCAAATTTTCGAGTTTCAATTTTCAGATTTTTGATTTTTCGATTTTCTTTTTAAATCTTCGAATTTTTCGGTTTTGATTTTTCGAATTTTTGATTTTTAATTTTTCCATTCTTCGGTTTTTAGACTTCAATTTTCTTTCTTTTAAATTTTTCGATATTCTATTTTCCGCTTTTCATAATTTTCGATTTTCAGTTTTCAGACTTTCGATGATTAGAATTTTGGATTTTTCAGTTTTATGATTTTTCGATTTTTAGAAAATTTGAGTAGTCGAATTTTCGATTTTTCAATTCATCGATTTTTCTATGTTCAATTTTTCAATTTAAATTTTGCGATTTTCAATTTGTCCATTGTCGATTTTTAGAATTTTCGGTTTTTCAGTTTTTCCATTCTCAACTGTTAGACTTCAATTTTGTTGCTTTCCGATTTTTTGGTTTTCGATTTTCCAATTTTCAGAATTTCCAAGTTTCTTTATTCAGATTTTCCATTTTCTACTTTTTCGATATTAGATTTTTCGAATTTTTGTTTTTCCAATTTTTTGCTTTTTCGATTTTTCTGTTCGTTTCAGTTTTTAGGCTTTGCAATCTTTTTTAACCTTATATATTTTGATTATTTTAATTTCCGATTTTTTTATTTTTGTTTTTGATTTTTTTAATTTTCAATATTACATATTTTTGAATTTTTTAGATTTTTTGATTTTTCTGTTCGTCAGTTTTTCGACTTTGCAATTTTTTTGCATTTTTCGATTATATTTTACTTTCCGATTTTTCAATTTTCCGGTTTTTTAATTCTCCTATTCTCGATTTTTCGATTTTCCATTAATCATAAAATTTTTCGATTTTTCGGTTGTTTTGTTTTTCGACCTTCGATTTTTCAACTTTCGATAGTCGATTTTATATTTTCTGATTTTACGATTTTTTGATTTGCGATTTTTCTGTTTGTTTCGGTTTTTATGGTTCAGCAATTTGCAGCTTTTAGATTTCAATTTTGTTACTTTCCGATTTTCCACTTTTCGATTTTTTGATTTTTTTTCGATCGTTGTTTTTTCGATTTTCATTTTTTCGATTTTTTGATTTTTCAATTTTTAGGCCTTGAAATTTTTTTACTTTTCGCTTTTTCGAGTATTTGTTTCATCGAATTTTCGATTTTTCGAGTTTTCGATTTTCAGTTTTTTGATCGACCTACGTATTAGATTCATTGAATTTTCGATTTTCGGCTTTTCCATTTTTAGATTTTTGATTTTCCAGTTTTGCATTTTCAGATTTTCTGTTTTTCGCATATCTGATTTATCAAATTTTCGATTTTTCGGCTTTTCGATTTTTCGATATTTGATTTTCGAATTTTCGATTGTTCAGTTTTCCATTTTTCAGCTTTTAGACTTCAATTTTTTACTTTTCGATTTTCCAAATTTTCGAGTTTCAATTTTCAGATTTTTGATTTTTCGATTTTCTTTTTAAATCTTCGAATTTTTCGGTTTTGATTTTTCGAATTTTTGGTTTTTAATTTTACCATTCTTCGGTTTTTAGACTTCAATTTTCTTTCTTTTAAATTTTTCGATATTCTATTTTCCGCTTTTCAAAATTTTCGATTTTCAGTTTTCAGACTTTCGATGATTAGAATTTTGGATTTTTCAGTTTTATGATTTTTCGATTTTTAGAAAATTTGAGTAGTCGAATTTTCGATTTTTCAATTCATCGATTTTTCTATGTTCAATTTTTCAATTTAAATTTTGCGATTTTCAATTTGTCCATTGTCGATTTTAGAATTTTCGGTTTTTCAATTTTTCCATTCTCAACTGTCAGACTTCAATTTTGTTACTTTCCGATTTTTTGGTTTTCGATTTTCCACTTTCCACTTTTTCGATATTAGATTTTTCGAATTTTTGTTTTTCCAATTTTTTGTTTTTTCGATTTTTCTGTTCGTTTCAGTTTTTAGGCTTTGCAATTTTGTTTACTTTATATATTTCGATTATTTTCATTTCCGATTTTTTTTTATTTTTGATTTTGATTTTTTTAATTTTCAATATTACAAATTTTTGACTTTTCGATTTTTCGATTTTTGAGGTTTGTGAATTTCCACTTTTCGATCGACCTATGTATTTGATTCATTGAATTTTCGATTTTTTGATTAGCCATTTTTAGATTTTCGATTTTTACGATTTGTATTTTTCGATTTTCTGTTTTTTGCATTAGTGAATTTCAGTTTTTCCGATTTTTGATTTTGCGCATATTTGATTAATCAAATTTTCGAAAAAGTTACCATACTTACAAAAACTTCAAAACATCTACAATATTTCAAAGTATTCAGTTTTGCTATTCTTGATTTCTTCAATAAAATAAATTGAATCAGTCATTAACTTGTTTGAGACACCCTGTATAACCAAATCTAAAAAATATTAATGGAGTGATAAATCACAAGTATAAAACTCATCATATTTTATACATTTAAGACAGGATTTATTCTGCAAAATTTTGAGGTGACGTCATAATTTTTTTAGAGGGGATAAGCAAATATATTTTAATTAAAAATGTATCATGTTTATCATGATTTTAGAACATCTGCAAGATTTCAAATATTCGATTTTGCAAATTCAAAATTAAATTGCAAAATATTGTTTTTATAATTTTGATTTTTTTTTTCCAAAAATCTGGACGTTTTGGATAAAAACTCAACACGGAGTCATAAACTACATGTGTAGGACTATATTACTGTATACAATTTAAAACCCATTTACTATGCATAAGTGAAGTGACGTCATCACATTATTGGTGGGGATGACTAGACAAATTTAATAATTTTGCGACATTTATGAAAAAAATATCAGTTAACAAAAATGGCACGTTTTTATTATTATGCCAGTTACATGTCACTCAACGACAATATCGTTTTTTAAGAGTATTTTATTTGAAAAAGTGATGAAATTTTTTATACGTAACAATCGGAAAATAATTTTTAGAAATCGAAATCCACAAAAAAATATATTTCTTACCAAATGTATATATAACTACTGTCCGTCCCGTTATTGTCAATAAAATTTTATAAGGTAAAATGTGAATTTCGTTGTAGTTTGAGCCTACTTACAAATTCTGCCCTTGAAGGATTTGGACCGCCTTCTTCGGTGAGGGCAGGCAAAAACGATCCGCCCATAGGCTCAAAACATTTGCGTGCGATTGTACAAATGGATTATTATTTATCAAATTTCGCGCTATATTGCTGCAATTTCATTGGTTGCACAACGTGGGCTTCTCGATGACGTGTTGTTTTACGTTATTTCATTGGCTTGCAGCTGTTTGAAGAAATCGTGGACCTACTCCTATGCAAAACAGCCGATGCGAACAAATTCATCCGCCATGATGCGAATATGGCGCTGGATTGTATGGTGACCCACATCCCGACGTACGATGCGATTCGGGCTTTATGTAATAAAGGGCCTTTTCATAAAAATCCATTGGTGCGATGTGCTACAGCTCGACTGCTGGTGTGTGCCATTGTAATAGGAGGAGTGGATTTTATATTAAATCCAATTAATAACGAGTGTACCAGGAAGAGAATTATTCTGACGATGGCGAGATTATTGGAGGATTATAAAAGCTTGGAAACTAGGTGATTCGTGGTACTCGTGTGTCAAATTTAAAATAATGTGTTCATGTTTAGAAAACTGGCCGAACGTATATATAAAATACTGTCCAAAGATACGCGGTTCGACGTCTACTTGAAGAAGTACCTCGAGAAAGAACAGATTCTTAAAATAAAACACACATTAAGGATTATAAGGAAGAAGTAAACTGAATACAATTCTTTATTATGTAAGATACAGGGTTTTGTGTATGTGTATTAATAAAACTCCAAGGAGTAAACTTCAATCAACACAGTTATTAATAAAACATTTATTCACTTTATAATTCTTACAAAATGAGGTAATTAAAATACCCACTAACAACCAAGAAGATAACAAAAACAACATCTAAGTAGATATAGACGGATGTATAAAAATAAAAACAGGTGTATAAACATTTATCTGTACAACAATAGCGTTACATTTTAGTGGCACTCATTTTTTTCTTATACTATATAGAGTACACTATACATTAACATCCATTTGGCATCTAGTCAAAGGGAAGAAAAGAAATAAAACGGCAACAAATGATCGGAAAAAAACCGCCCCTAGTTAGCAAGATATCCGTAAGTACTTACGTACTACAGGCACTTTTTTGATCATTCAACTATAGGGAACAACTTGTGGACTCACGATGAATTTTTGTTCCCTCTGCTTTAAATTGTTACGTTCATGTATCTCCAGCTACGCTGCGTTTTACTATTACTAAATGAAAAAACCTCACCCTGTGCCAATTATATCGTGGTCCACACTATCAAAAAATTGTCTAATTGTTTCAGTCAACGAAACCCAGAAATTACCAGGTATTAGGCAAAAGATATGTAAAAATGGTCGACGAGGCTTGTCTATGTGTTGGAGTACAAACGAATCTCTATCACATTAACATTTTAATAATTTAAATAAATGAACACAACACATTGACAACTCTCCCATAGTTTTTTTTTATTTTCTAACGATTGTTGGTTATAGTTACCCTGATGCATTGATTATATATGACCCATACCTAAACACCTACCATTGAGCCCATCCATCGTCTAATACTGGTGTGTTTTAAGGAATTCAGAATGACTGGCTATGACGTTCGATACAATGGGATCTTCGATTTCCATTCCGTTGAGCATTTGTTCTCGGGTTAGAGACACTTCGTAGCTGCTGTCTTTTGTCACGAAAACTACTTTTTGTCGTCTTGTTTGAAGCATATTGCCAATTACTAACTGCAACGTTACGTTATATTGAGTTATTAAAGAAAATTAGTCCAATAATCAAATTAAAAATTTTAAAACCCGTACTTCAAATTTTTTTAACTCGAATTAAACTTATAAAACTGCAAAGAAATTCCAAATTGCTACATGACAAAATTTTAGAATTTTGACTGTTAATCTAAGAACTGAGATTTCGAAATTGAAAATTCAACTCGAACTTTTAACTTACACTTCAGAATTTAAAATAAGAATACTAAGATTTAAGTTTAAAAAATTGGAAAAATCAGTATTCCAAACTTAAACTGCAAAATTTGACGTTAATATTACAAAAAACTGTTAACATTTTAGAGTCACAATTCCGAACTGAAAATTAACTTTTACGATTTCAGTTTCCGTTTAGAAAATTGGAATTTTGGAACACTATGGACTTTCTTAAGAAAAATAAGACTAGAAATGTTGCCTTCGTAATGTACAAAGTTATTTCATAGAATTTAAATCCTACTTTTTTTGTAAATTTTGAGGTAACGTTCGCATTGTTGGTGGAGATCACATATGTAAAATTTGACGACAATCCGTTCGGTAGTTTCGGAGATTGTCTAATAAAAATCGACACAGACGGCACACGAATAGACGGCAATGGGAGACTTATTTTTTCGTACTATAGGGGTCATGAAACGTCGAAAAAACATGAAAGTAACCATTCGTCCGATAGACACTATCAATACTTTCTTAGCTTACGGTTACGCTTTCGTGTTTTTAATTTTTCTCGATTTTATAAATTTTCAATTTTTCGAATATAGTTATTCACTTTTTTGTTGTTTCGATTTCTCAGCCTTTCGTTTTTAGATTTTTCGATTTTTCAAATTTTTCAGAATTAATTTTTCAGTTTTTCGATATTTCGATTTTTCAATTTCGATTTAAGGCCTTCTCGTTTTTGGATTTTCCGGTTTTTCAATTTTTCGGAATTAATTTTTAAGTTTTTCGATGTTTCGATTTTTCACTTTTTGGTTTATCGGTTTTTTTAAGTTAAAATTTTTCAATTTTGAATTCTCCCATTTTTCGATTTTTAGCCACTTCCATTTCTCAATTTTTCGACTTCTCGATTTTTTGATGTTTCGATTTCGTGATTTTTCAATTTTTCGACGATTTCTCCATTTTTTGGATAATTCAAGTTTTCGATTTTTCGGTTTTCCAATTTTTCAACGTTTCAGTTTTGGAATTTATGTATTTAAATTGTTCCATTTTTCAATTTTTTGCGTTTCTAGATTTTTGGATTTTTTGATTTCTCAATTTTTCGATTAATTAATGGATTTTTCGACTTTTCGTCTTTCCGATTTTTCGATTTCTCGATTTTTCGATTTTCAAATTTTCAATGTTCAAGTTTTGGAATTGTTTAATTTTGGGATTTCTCACAACGTATTTCGATTTTTAAATTTTTAGATTTTTCGACTTTCTGTTTTTTTTTTATTTTTTGCTTATTCGATTTTTCAAAATTTTGTGATTTTTTAAATACTACATTTTTCGATTTTTCAAATTTTAAATCTGATTTTTATTTTCGAGTTTTTGGATTTTTTAATTTTTCGACTTTTTGAATTTTACGTTTTTCGATTTTACGATTTTTTAAATTTTCGATGTTTCAGTTTTGGTTTTTTTTTTAATTTTTCAATATTTTGATCCTTCAATTTTTCGATTTTCAAATTTTAGGTTTCTCAGTTTTTCGAACTTTTAAATTTTCGGTTTTTCTTTTTTTTTGTTTCGATTTCTCAGTCTTGCGATTTTTTCAAATTTTCAGTGTTGAAGTTTTGGGATTTTTCAATTTTGGGATTTCTCAATACGTATCTCGATTTTTAAATTTTTAGATTTTTCGACTGTTTTTTTTTTATTTTTGCTTATTCGATTTTTCAAAATTTTGTGATTTTTTAAATCTTTCATTTTTAGATTTTTCAATTTTTTTATTTTCAGATTCGTTGACGTTTTGATTTCTCGATTTTGTAAATTTCCAATTTTTCGAATTCTCAAAATTTTAGATTTTTCACTTTTTTGTTGTTTCGATTTCTCAGTCTTGCGATTTTTTGCTTTCTCATTTTTATATTTTTGGGAATACATTTGTCAGTTTTTCGATAATCTGATTTTTCAAATTTTCGATTTATCGGGTCTTTCATGTTTAAATTTTTCAACTTGAAATTTTCCCATTTTTCAATCTTTTGCTATTTCGATATCTCAATTTTTAGATTTTTGACTTCTCGACTTACACTTTTGATTTTTCGAGTTTCCAATTTTTAGACGTTACAGTTTTGAAATTTATGTATTTACGTTTTTCGATTTTTCAGTTTTTGGCGTTTCTAAATTTTTGGATATTTCAAGAATCCGATTTTTAAATTTTTCGACAATTCGATATTTTAATTTTTTGATTTTTCAAATCTGTACTTTCGATTTCTCAATTTTTCGATTTTGCAATTTTTCGTCATTTCAGTTTTGGAATGTTACAATTTCACGAGTTTTCAAATTTTCCGAATTTTCAAATTTTCAACTTTTAAATTTTAGATTTTTAAATATTTCGATTCTTTAAACTTCCATTTTCTCGATTTTGCTGTTTCGATTTCTCAAATTTTCAATTTTTCTAATTTTTAAATTCTCGATTTTTCGACTTACTTGTTGTAGATTTTTCGATTTTTCAATTCTTTTCGTCATTTCAGTTCAATTTTTCGATTTTTGGCGTTTCTAAATTTTTTGATTTTTCAATTTCTCAATTTGTCGATTAACGTATTTTTTAATTTTTCGACTTTTCGATTTTTCGTCTTTCCGATTTCGCGATTTCTCAATTTTTCGATTTTCAAATTTTCAATGTTTAATTTTTGGGATTTTTCAATTTTGGAATTTCTCAATACGTATTTCGATTTTGTAAATTTCCAATGTTTCGAATTTTTAAATTTTAGATTTTTCTTTTTTTTGGTTGTTTCGATTTCTCAGTCTTGCGATTTTTTGTTTTGTCATTTATAGATTTTTCGATGTTTCAATTTTTCGGAATTAATTTTTCAGTTTTTCGATATTTTGATTTTACAAATTTTCGATTTATAGTCTTTTAAGTTTAAACTTTTTAATTTTAAATTTTCCCATTTTTCGCTCTTTAGCTATTTCAATTTCTCAATTTTTCGATTTCTCTGTTTAAGTTTTGGAATTTTTCAATTTTGGGATTTTACCAGAATTCTATTTTTAAATTTTTAGATTTTTCGACTTTGTTTTTTTGATTTTTACTTGATTTTACGAAGTTTTAAATTTTCGATTTTTCGATTTTCCAATTTTTCAACCTTTTGTTGTGGGATTTATGTATTTCAATTTTTGGTGTTTCTAAATTTTTGGATTTTTTGATTTCTCTGTTTAAGTTTTGGGATTTTTCTAGAATTCGATTTTAAAATTTTTACATTTTTCGACTTTGTTTTTTTATTTTTTACTTGATTTTGCGAGTTTTTAAATCTTTCATTTTTCGATTTCGATTTCTTGATTTCTCAGTTTTTCAAAATTCATCTTTTCGATTTTTCAAGTTTTGTTTCTAAATTTTTGGATTTTTCGATTTCTCAATTTCTCGATTAATGTATTTTTTAAATTTTCGATTTGCAAATTTTCAGTGTTGAAGTTTTGGGATTTTTCAATTTTGGGATTTCTCAATACGTATCTCGATTTTTAAATTTTTAGATTTTTCGACTTTCTGTTTTTTTTATTGTTAGCTTATTCGATTTTTCAAAATTTTGTGATTTTTTAAATCTTACATTTTCAGATTTTTCAATTTTTTTATTTTCTGATTCGTTGACGTTTTGATTTCTCGATTTTGTAAATTTCCAATTTTTCGAATTCTCAAAATTTTAAATTTCTCAATTCTTTACTTTCGATTTTTAATTTTTCGATTTTCCAATTTTTCGTCATTTCAGTTTTGGAATGTTTCAATTTCACGAATTTTCAATTTTTCGACTTTTAAATTTTAGATTTTTGAATTTTTCGATTTTTCGATTCTTTGAACTTCCAATTTCTCGATTTTGCTGTTTCGATTTCTCGAATTTTCAATTTTCCTAATTTTTAAATTGTCGATGTTTCGACTTTTTGGTTGTAGATTTTTCGATTTTTCAATTCTTTTCGTCATTTCAGTTCAATTTTCCAATTTTTGGCGTTTCTAAATTTTGTCGATTAATGTATTTTTTAATTTTTCGACTTTTCGTCTTTCCGATTTCTCGATTTCTCAATTTTTCGATTTTCAATTTTCAATGTTTAATTTTTGGGATTTTTCAATTTTGGAATTTCTCAATACGTATTTCGATTTTGTAAATTTCCAATTTTTCGAATTTTTAAATTTTAGATTTTTCTTTCTTTTTTGTTGTTTCGATTTCTCAGTCTTGCGATTTTTCGATTTTTCAATTTTTCGATTTATAGGGTCTCATAAGTTTAAATTTTTCAATTTTAAATTTTCCCATTTTTCGATCTTTGGCTATTTCGATTTTTCAATTTTTTGATTTTTTAATTCTTTGATGTTTTGATTTCTCGATTTTGTAAATTTCAAATCTTTAGAATTTTCAAATTTTAGATTTTTCACTTTTTTGTTCATTCGATTTCTCAGTTTTGTGGTTTTTTGCCTTCTCATTTTTAGATTTTTCGGGTTTTTTAAGTTCAAATTTTTCAATTTTAAATTTTCCCATTTTTCGATTTTCCAATTTTTCAACCTTTCGGTTTTGGAATTTATGTATTTCAATTTTTGGTGTTTCTAAATTTTTGGATTTTTTGATTTCTCTGTTTAAGTTTTGGGTTTTTTCTAGAATTCGATTTTAAAATTTTTAGATTTTTCGACTTTGTTTTTTTTTGATTTTTTGCTATTCGATTTTTCAAAATTTTGTGATTTTTTAAATCTTACATTTTTCAATTTTTTGATTTCTCGATCTTGTAAATTTCCAATTTTTCAATTTTTTAAATTTTAAATCTGATTTCTCGATTTTTCGATGTTTCGATATCTTGATTTTTCAATTTTTTAAACTTTAGGTACTTTGATTTCTGAATTTTTCGAGTTTTCAGTTCTTCGATACTTCTATTTTTAAAACTAAATATTATTTTTTTTATTTTCGAGTTTTTTGAATTTCCAATTTTTCGACTTTTTGAATTTCACGTTTTTCGATTTTACGATTTTAAAAATTTTCGAAGTTTCAATTTTCGTTTTTTTTTTAAATTTTCAATATTTTGATCCTTCAATTTTTCGTTTTCAAATTTTAGGTTTTTCAGTTTTTCGAATTTTTAAATTTTTCGATTTTGGACTACTTCGATTTCTCAATTTTTCCATATTCCAATTTTTCGTCATTTCAGCTTTGGAATGTTTCAATTTCTCAATTTTTCAGGTTATCGATTCTTCAATTTTCTTTTTTTTTAATTTGTCGATTTATTAAATTTTAAATCCTTGATTTCGCGGCTTTTCGATTTTTAATTTAAAATTTTTGAATTCTTGAATTTTTCAATTTATTAAATTAAAGATTTCACTATTTTTAGATTGATCGATTTTAAAAATTTTAGATTTTTCAATTTTCGATTTTTTTTTTAATTTAAAATTTTTCAATTCTTTATTTTCGATTTTTCGATTCTTTGAACTTCCAATTGCTCGATTTTGCTGTTTCGATTTCTCGAATTTTCAATTTTACTAATTTTTAAATTCTCGATTTTTCGACTTTTTGGTTGTAGATTTTCGATTTTTCAATTCTTTTCGTCATTTCAGCTCAATTTTCCTATTTTTGGCGTTTCTAAATTTTGTCCATTAATGTATTTTTTAATTTTTCGACTTTTCGTCTTTCCGATTTCTCGATTTCTCAATTTTTCGATTTTCAAATTTTCATTGTTTAATTTTTGGGATTTTTCAATTTTGGAATTTCTCAATACGTATTTCGATTTTGTAAATTTCCAATTTTTCGAATTTTTAAATTTTAGATTTTTCTTTTTTTTTTGTTGTTTCGATTTCTCAGTCTTGCGATTTTTTGTTTTGTCATTTATAGATTTTTCGATTTTTCAATTTTTCGAAATTAATTTTTCATTTTTTCGATATTTTGATTTTACAAATTTTCGATTTATCGGGTCTTTTAAGTTAAAATTTTTCAGTTTTAATTTTCCCATTTTTCGATCTTTAGCTATTTCGATTTTTCAATTTTTCAATTTTTTGATTCGTTGATGTTTTGATTTCTCGATTTTGTAAATTTCAAATCTTTAGAATTTTCAAATTTTAGATTTTTCACTTTTTTGTTCATTCGATTTCTCAGTCTTGGGGTTTTTTGCCTTCTCATTTTTAGATTTTTCGATTTTTCGGGTTTTTTAAGTTTAAATTTTTCAATTTTAAATTTTCCCATTTTCAATTTTGGGATTTTACCAGAATTCTATTTTTAAATTTTTAGATTTTTCGACTTTGTCTTTTTATTTTTTACTTGATTTTGCAAGTTTTTAAATCTTGCATTTTTCGATTTTGATTTCTCAATTTCTCAGTTTTTCAAAATTCATCTTTTCGATTTTTCAATTTTTGTTTCTAAATTTTTGGATTTTTCGATTTCTCAATTTCTCGATTAATGTATTTTTTAATTTTTCGATTTTCAAATTTTCAGTGTTGAAGTTTTGGGATTTTTCAATTTTGGGATTTCTCAATACGTATCTCAATTTTTAAATTTTTAGATTTTTCGACTTTCTGTTTTTTTTTTGATTTTTTGCTTATTCGATTTTTCAAAATTTTGTGATTTTTTAAATCTTGCATTATTAGATTTTTCAATTTTTTTATTTTCTGATTGGTGGACGTTTTGATTTCTCGATTTTGTAAATTTCCAATTTTTCGAATTCTCAAAATTTTAGATTTTTCACTTTTTTGTTGTTTCGATTTCTCAGTCTTGCGATTTTTTGCTTTCTCATTGTTATATTTTTGGGAATAAATTTTTCAGTTTTTCGATATTTTGATTTTTCAAATTTTCGATTTATCGGATCTTTTATGTTTAAATTTTTCAATTTGAAAGTTTCCCATTTTTCGATCTTTAGCTTTTTTGATATCTCAATTTTTAGATTTTTGACTTCTTGACTTACACTTTTGATTTTTCGAGTTTCCAATCCAATCATTATTAAATATAGGCGGACGCAACATTACTGTATTCTAAAATTTTCGAGCCCCGGCGTCCTCCACAAACCAGTGCTCGTATATTAATATACAATGTGATGATCCAAAAACGAGAAGGCGAAAAATCGGAAAAAAACGTTAAATCGAAAATTAAAAAATCCAAATATCGAAACACTGAAAAATTAATTCCGAAAAATTTAAAAATCCAAAAACGAGAGGGCAAAAAATCGAAAGATTGAGAAATCGAAACAACGAAAAATTGAACATTCTAAAATTTTAAAATCAAAAAAATTTGTTGGTTACAGTTCTAAGGTTTATTGTCCGAATTAACAATTTTTTCGCGGGAAATTTGAATTTTATAATGAAAAAACCGGATGTTGAATATTGAAAATAATAATAGAAATTTTGTTATAAGGTCGAAATTCCAAGTTTAAAAATTGGTAAGGAATATAGAGTATATTTCAGACATTGGTTTTCAGGCGTTGAACTGAATTTTATATTTAATATTAAGAAAAAACTAATATTTCTATTCCTTTTATGATTTTGTTGTTAGAAATTTGTTTAAATCTGGGAATTTCGGCCTTTATTGAAGATTAAGTTTTAACATGGTATGGATGTCTAGGATAAAAATGAAGGCAGATTCATAAACCAGAAGTATAGAAGTATGTTACACTTACCTTATGCTTATACTTATTTAACGAGTCCCTCGCTTTCACGATGAGAATACTCTCATCAGTTTCCAATTTAAAAGAAACTACGAAAGCATGAGGCACCCACAAATTAACTAAAGGCGCCAGCATCTTTGGCACTAACTGTAACTGGATGGTAGGAGCCCCCGCCCCTGATTGAATCTTATGCGTTGGCTAAAAAACAACCTGACTTACTACCCCTCACAAACAACCCTTACCATTTCATTCGACGGAACATAAAAATCTGAAACGGCGGCCGCCAGGAACAACAACGCCCTCGTCTCAAACACCGCCAGACACTCACAAGCCGCCCTCAGCAGCCAGAAATAATCCGACACAGTCGTAAACGTCACATATAGAATCCTTCCACCTTCTTGTACGTTTTTGTAACTGGCTAACACCGGCGCCAGAACATCCACACTATCTGGTTTCACTGGAAACACACACTGTACTGAGCACAATTAAACAAAGACTAACCTGTGATGGCAGTGTTAGGCCCTTGTTCGTGCAGTTCCAACATGTCCATGAATTTTTGGCCGCTGAATTGGCGGGTGAAGGGTTCCAAGGATTTGAGTCTGTGCATGAAAATGACGACGTAACCGTGCTCTAGGAAGTATTCGGCGGACGCGGCTCCTCGGGTTCCCGCGCTGAAGTTGTCGACGAACCGCACGGTGTTGTGTTCGAGGGGGACCGTTGTGCCCCCTGACTAAAATGTGACAGTGACAGGTAAACATAACCTCACTTTTTGGGGGACTTACTGTGATTAGGACGATTCGTTCGCAGGCGGTGTTGTGGCGGGCGCAGAACTCTTTGAGGAGGATTCGATTGTCTTCGAAGTCTGTGGGAGGCAAGTGTGTGGCGTAAAATTCCTCCCAGTGGGAAGCCATTATCACAAATGACAATTACCGGTGCCTAGGGTCAGGATGGAACTTTGGACCGGGTTTGGATTAGGTATCATGCGCTTTGGGTGCGTGGAATAAATTTCAAGTTTTTCCTTGAAGGTTTTAAAGGTCCCATGTCGGGTTTAAAAAGCGAAAAAAAATTGGGACAGGTGAAATGGTATTTCAATTTGGTGTCAAATGTGTCAGTTTTTCGTTGCTAGATTTCAAGGTTAAGAATTCTGAGGTTGAAACTATGGGTTGAAAGTACGAAATTGTGGTTCTGTGTGACATACAAAGTCATATTTCAAGTTTCAAAATTTTAAAATGCCAATCAGCAATTTTTCATATTTTAAATTGTAGAGTGGTAACACTGCAAATCTGAAATGTCAAATGGAAAGGTCGTCTCAATCAGGGATATGAGTGTTTTGTGTTCAGAGCTTATTGAAATTTTGAATTTTGGTATGAGAATTTTGATTTCACTGTAGACTTGTAAGTTTTAATTTCAAAATATTTTGGAATTTTGAGTTAGGAATTTTCTGTTTAAAAGTCGCAATTCCAAGTTTAGAAATCGAAAAAACTCGTTTACAAAGCTAAAGTCGCGATCTTTTCTATAGAACCACTCCCTAGTGTAAATTTTCAAAATTTGTTTGGTGTAAGTGACCTTGACGGGTTTCTGGGGGAAAACATATGTGTCAAAAATTTGACAGGTTGGATGGCCCCATTGTCAATATAGATATTTTATTTTAATAAACAGATGAACAGAACATACAGTCTCCACGGGATACAGTGCGGCATAGCTGAGGGCAATCGAAACATTCGTGTTGTGCTAGTTTCGATTGCCGTATCAACTACCGCTACCAACCGCGTTCGGCGTAAAGTACTAGATGACAGGGCTACCAACTTGACTTTTTATCGAGTGGTTCCGTAGAAATGACCGCTACTGTATTCAAAGTTTCCAATTTTTTTTTTGTTCCACAATTCTACAATATTTTATTCTTCGTCGGATTTCAGACTTTTTTCCAGAAAATGGAATAAATAATACTCAAATTTGACTAATTGAGTCGGAGTTTCAAATACATCACTGTTCAATTTTTAATTTTTACGCAATTTTTGAGGTTTCTACTGTTGGAAATAGATTTAAATTGTGAATTTAGGGTTTTACTACAAATTTGTAAAATCAAAATTTAGAATGTCAAGCGAAAAAATAGGTATTCGAATTTTAGCACTAAAATTTGCCAAGTTATCAAGTTGTTATTTCAAATTAAAGATCAACAATTTTTGTTACAAATTTGGAAAAACTGAAATCAAGTTTCTGATTTTGCCAAATGATATATCTTGTACCATTTATTCTCTTGGAGGGTATATCATTTGGCAAAATCAGTACTATCTTAGCCAGTACTAGCCCCGCCCACCCACCCTCTATATTCTTGGAAGGTATGTCATTTGCCAAAATCTGTCTTATCTTAGTAATTAGTAACCTCGCCCACCCCCACTCTTCTCATTCTAACGACTAATTTTATTTCTGTCCGGTGTAAAATCATTCATTTTACAATAAATCACTGAAAAGGAGGCAGGGTGGGTGGGCGGGGCTAATTAAGTTCTTCTGTCGAGTGAGAGTGGAAACGGAAACTAATAATAGAATCAAGGATGTGAAAAAAGTAAAAATTTATATTTTAACTACGTAGGTTAGGAATACACAAATTATAGTGACGTATAGCGCTGAAGAAGGCTGAAACATAGGGCGAAACATGTACGCTATAATATAAATACAATTTTAATAAAAAGTGAAAAGCAAGGGGATAACCTCTAAATTAATTAAGACGGATTTTGGCGTTCACGTTAGGTCAAGTCAGGTCAGGTGCATGAAATGAGAAGTAAATTTTGTAGCAAATAGTATAACAAAAAAAAAACACAATTAGCGTTTTTTTTTACTTTTTTCACATCCTAGATTCTATTATTAGTTTCCACTCTCACTCGACAGAAGAACATAATTATTAGTAGTATCCGCCCACCCACCCTGTCTCCTTTTCAGTTATTGATTTCATGCGATCTGTATTGAATGATCTTATAATAAACAGAAATAAAATTAGTCGTTAGAATGAGAATGCAGGAGGAGGAGGGGGGGCTAGAAATTGTTCAGATAAGAGTGATTATGGCAAATGATATACCTTCCAAGAATATAGTGGGTGGGTGGGCGGGGCTAGTACTTGCTAAGATAAGACTGAATTTGGCAAATCACATACCCACTAAGAAAATCGAGGGCGGGTGGGCGGGGCTACTATTTCATAAGATAAGATTGATTTTGGCACTTTTGACATTTTCGACCAATTCTTTCAAGAATGTACTTAGTGGTTTCTTTATATTTACAGAAATGTTTAAAATTTGTTTATTTGGGACAATAGAGAAGTCAAGACAGGTCAGGTGCATGAAATACGAAATAAATTTTATAGCAAATAGTATAACAAAAAAAAAATACGATTAGCGTTTTTGTTTACTTTTTTCACATTTTTCATTCCATTATTATTTTCCACTCCCACTCGACAGAAGAACTTAATTAGTAGCCCCGCCCACCCACCCTTTCTCCTTTTCAATGATTGATTTTATTCGATCTGTATGAAATGAATGATCTTATAATGAACAGAAATAAAATTAGTCGTTAGAATGAGAAGAGGAGGGGCGGGGCTAGTAATTGCTAAGATAAGCGTGATTATGGCAAATGACAAACCCACTAAGAAAATCTAGGGCGGGTGGGCGGGGCTACTCTTTGATAAGATAAGATTGATTTTGGCACTTTTGACATTTTCGACCAATTGTTTCAAGAATGTACTTAGTGGTTTTTTTATATTTACAGAAATGCTTAAAATTTGTTTATTTGGGACAATAGAGAAGTCAAGGCAGGTCAGGTGCATGAAATAAGAAGTAAATTTTATAGCAAATAGTATAACAAAAAAAATACGATTAGCGTTTTTTTTTACTTTCTTCACATCCTAGATTCTATTATTAGTTTTCACCTCCACTCGACAGAAAAATATAATTATTAGTAGCCCCGCCCACCCACCCTGTCTCCTTTTCAGTGATTGATTTTATGCGATCTTATAATGCAGAAATAAAATTAGTCGTTAGAATGAAAATCAAGGGGGGGGGGGGGCTAGTAATTTCTAAAATAAGAGTGATTATGGCAAATGACATACCTTCCAAGAATATAGTGGGTGGGTGGGCGGGGCTAGTACTTGCTAAGATAAGACTGAATTTGGCAAATGACATATCTTTCAAGAATACAGAGGGTGGGTGGGCGGGGCTAGTACTTGCTAAGATAAAACTGATTTTGGCAAATAACATACCCACTAAGAAAATCGAGGGCGGGTGGGCGGGGCTACTATTTGATAAGATAAGATTGATTTTGGCACTTTTGACATTTTCAACCAATTGTTTGAAGAATGTACTTTGTGGTTTTTATATATTTACAGAAATGTGTAAAATTTGTTTATTTGGGAAAATAGAGTCAAGTCAAGACAGGTCAAGTGCATGAAATAAGAAGTACATTTTATAGCAAATAGTATAACAAAAAAATACAATTAGCGTTTTTTTTCACATCCTAGATTTTATTATTAGTTTCCACTCCCACTCGACAGAAGAAATTAATTAGTAGCCCCGCCCACCCACCCTGTCTCCTTTTCAGTGATTAATTTAATTCGATCTGTATGAAATGAATGATCTTATAATGAACAGAAATAAAATTAGTCGTTAGAATGAGAAGAGGAGGGGGGGGGGGCTAGTATGCTAAGATAAGCGTGATTATGGCAAATGACATACCTTCCAAGAATATAGAGGGTGGGTGGGCGGGACCAGTATTTGTTAAGATATAACTGATATTTCCAAATGGAATAACTCTCTAAGAAAAAAGGGCGGATGGTCGGTGCTAGTACTGGCCAAGATATGCCTGATTTTGCCAAATGACAAATCCGCTAAGAAAATAAAGCGTAGAAGGTATATCATTTGGCAAAATCTCTCTTATCTTGGCAAGTGTTGGCCCCGCCCAACCACCCTTTATTTTCGTTGAGGGTATACCATTTGGCAAAATCAGTATTATCTTAGCAATTAGTAATCCCGCCCACCCCCCCTCTTCTGATTCTAACGGCTAATTTTATTTCTGTCCAGTATAAAATCATTAATTTTACAATAAATCACTGAAAAGGAGACAGGGTGGGTGGGCGGGGCTAATTATGTTCTTCCACTCGACAGAAGAACATAATTATTAGTAGCCCCGCCCACCCACCCTTTCTCCTTTCAGTGATTGATTTTATTCGATCTGTATGAAATGAATGATCTTATAATGAACAGAAATAAAATTAGTCGTTAGAATGAGAAGAGGAGGGGGGGGGGGGGCTAGTAATTGCTATTATACTATTTGCTATAAAATCTACTTCTTGTTTCATGCACTTGACCTGTCTTGACTTGACTCTATTGTCCCAAATAAACAAATTTTAAACATTTCTGTAAATATATAAAAACCACAAAGTACATTCTTGAAACAATTGGTTGAAAATGTCAAAAGTGCCAAAATCAATCTTATCTTATCAAATAGTAGCCCCGCCCACCCGCCTTCGATTTTCTTAGTGGGGATGTTATTTGCCAAAATCAGTCTTATTTTAGCAAGTACTAGCCCCGCCCACCCACCCACTTTATTCTTGGAAGTTGTTATTTGCTAAAATCAGTCTTGTCTTAGCAAGTACTAGCTGCGCTCAGCCCCCTCTTCTCCTTCTAACGACTAATTTTATTTCTGTTCAGGATAAGATCATTCATTTCATTCGGATAAAATTAGTCACTGGAAAGGAGACAGGGTGGGTGGGCGGGGCTAATTATATTGTTCTGTCGAGAGGGAGTGGAAACTAATAATTAATAGAATCTCGGATGCGAAAAAATTAAAAAAAAACGCTAATCGTGACTTTTTTTTTGTTTTACTGTTTGCTATAAAATTTATTTCTTATTTCGTCCACCTGACTTGGTTTGACCTAACGTCACCTGACCTGATCTAACTTCTCTATTGTCCCAAATAAACAAATTTTAAATATTTGTGTAGATATATAATAACTACAAAGTACTTTCTTGAAACAATTGTACT